AAATGTGATGGATTGTGTGTTTGATTGATGATGTTGGATCGTACTGCCATGTATTTTGTAAAGGGTGCCGTTCATATAGGGCAGAGGCTCTAAATAATCAATTTTAAGCCTACCTTCAAATAGCATTGAAAAATATGGTTTTAATATTAAAAAGTTTTACGATAGCTTTAAATTATATGTTTATTTTTTGTTATAAAATTTAAAGCTTTAAAATTAATGTAGATCGAGCAGATATTTGAATGTGGGCTCTAAATTAAGATTTTCCGTCAATTTTTAAGATTTTCAAGTTTTCATACATCTGCTTGATCTACATTATTTTTAAAGCTTTAAATTTTATAACTAAAAATCAAAATATTATTTAAAGTTATTTTTAAATTAAAATATAATTTAAAGCTATTTAAAAATCTTAAAAATTAAAGATAAAAAAATACGTTATAAGATGCATTATTTTCAAAACTTAAATTCCATTTTTTTTTTTTCATGTCTAAACATGGTTATGTGAGATCACCGAATGGATGAGATTTGAGAATCAAAACAACCTCCTCTTCCGGTAAAAGTTTTGAAGCAAGCTTTAATATGAAGCCCAATATAAAATTTTCCCTTTTGTATAAATGTTCAAATTATCTACGTGGGACCCAACTATATTAAGGCTTCCTTATAAAATGACAAATTTATAATGTTCCTTTGATGAATGAGGGGCAGAAGGGTCATTTAATGGAGCATGGTAATGTCCAACGGTCGTTAAGATGCTCGGATAGGGCTGTTTGAGTCATTTTCGAAATAGTTAATGCATCAGAGTTTAAATGTCTCTTCTGAGAGCGAAGAATTAGGCTTTTAGCGGCTCCCGAGGCATGTAATGTTTTAGAGAGAGAGAGAGAAAACAAGCGCAGGTTTGATAACCTCCTCTCTTACGTCTTTAAACACTGCAGCTTTTTACGACGCCTCTCTCTGCTCACTAATAAACCAACCAACTTTTCTTCCCCTGCATTTTCTCTCTCTAGACTCTTTTCTCTCTCTAAGCTTCCTTTTCTCTCTCTAAAATTTTATCTCTCTAGACTCCCTTCACTCTCTTGTTTTCTTTGTGAATTTTATAAGAAGAGAAAACCAAACTTTGATATTTTGTTTCCATTGTAATGTGACTCTTCCTTGCTGTGTTTGTAAAATGAAATTGGAATAGTTAACCGGACATGGATTTAGAAGGCAGTTTAATTGGGTAGACATATCAATTCAATTGTTTTAATCGGGCAAGTCCCTAGTGGTCACAATAGTGTTGAAAAAATAAAATAGATAAAAAAAAAATCTATTGAAAAAAATATAAAGATTTATTAAAATAAAATATATTAAAATAAAATTAAAAATTAATGAAAAATAAATTTTAATAATTGATATTTTAATTAATGTGAGTTTTAACAACAAAAGAAAATTTTAATCTTTGTTATAATATAAACAATATTAAAAATGTATTATAAATCAAAATTTTTATTTTTAAAATTTATATAAATTTTTATTAATTTTTTTTAAAAAATACCGATCAACCACTAAATCCATCTAAAACCAAAAAACCAGACAGTTAACCGTTGGATTTTTTAACAATGCTCTCGTCACTAGAACACACCGACCTTTTCCTTATCATTAATTTTCTCTCTCTAGCCTCCCTCTCTCTCTAAAAGTTCTTATTCCCTTCAGTCTCTCTTGCTGTCAAATTGTTTCTTAAAAAACACACCCACCTCGCAATTTCTCTCTCCTAAGTCGAACGAACCCACTTCTTCGCAATCGATTATTTTCTCTCTCTAAATTCCCTCTCAAATTACCTCATTCATTGCGATTCTCTCACTTGCTGTTCCCTATTCTCTCTCCTCTGACACACACGGCACCACCTTTCCTTTCCTCCTCTCTCTCTCTCCGTAATCTCCTGCATTTTTTGGTTTCCCCTGCTTCGCTCGCCACTTCCTCTCTCTATATTCTTTTATTTTCTCTCTCTAACTTTTATCTCCTATTTTTTTCCTCCGCCTCCTCTTCCGGCCTATCGGGCAAAGGCGAGTGCGCTGCTCGTACGATCAGGCCATGGCATGGGGATGTGCGCACCGGCTGCGGCAGCGTCGCCGATACCGCCTCTGCCCAACTCCGGCGTACGGACAGTTTCGTGGCTTCGTCCGTACCTGGCGGACTCATAAACTCATCGTGCCCACTCTCTCTCTCTAACTTCCGACTCACGCCAAATGACACGCTGCTCTGCTCCTCCCTCTCTCTCTCTCTCTCTCTAGACTCAGAGCTTTGTTCCTCTCTCTAGCTCTGGCTCTCTCTCTAGACTCAGAGCTTTGTTTCTCTCTCTAGCTCTGGCTCTCTCTCTTCGCTCGATTTCTTGACTCGCTATGGCCGTAACACGTGTTCTTTCTCTGCCATTTCCTCTCTACTCTCTCTCTAGACTTTGGCTATGCTTCTCTTTAGCTCTGCTGCCTTTATTCTATCTACCTCTGCCTCCTCTCTTTCTCTCTCTAGCTCTGGTTCCTTCTCTCTTTTTCTCTCTAGCTCAAGCTCCATGACTATTAACCCATGGTTTCCTTCTTAAGCCACTGTTTAACGTTTAGTGCCTCTCTTGGTTCCTCTTCTCTCTCTCTATCTTTCTCTCTGTTTTGCAAGAGGAGGATATTTGATTGTTAAATCGTTTCTTCCTATCTCTGGTTAGTGTCTTAACACCTCTCTTTCTATCTCTTTCTCTCTCTTCCTTGCTTACATTGTCTTTTCGTACGCGCTCGTTCTCTCTTCTGTCTTTCTCTCTCTTGTTTCTACCACATTGTTACTTAGGGGATTTGCATAGTGTCATGGCGCGCTTGTTATGGAGAGAGAAGATGGAGGGTTTCACTGCAATGGTGGTGCTCTTAGTGTTTTTACAGGCTCTCTCTGCTCAATCAGACGAAGGTCTGAGCTCTCTCTCTCTATCTCTTCTCTCTTTTATTATATAATCTCTTTTCTTGCTGTGTTTTTTTTGGAGGAATCTGCTATTTTTGGGTAATGGGTTTAGAGAGAGAGAGAGTTGGCGGAGGTTTTTAAGGGCTGATGTTTCGAATTTGGTCGTGAGTTGCAGGGAGAGCTTTGCTATCTCTGAAAGCGTCTTTCAGCGATGTGGCCAACGTTCTTCTTGACTGGAATGAGGATTCCATTGATGACCATTGTTCATGGCGTGGGGTTTCTTGCGATAACGTTACATTCGACGTTGTTTCTCTGTATGTTCCATGTCCACTGCTCTTACTTCTGCTCTTACTCTGGTTTTGGGCTCTTCCCCAATGTGTTTACAGAGAGAGATTTTCTCTTATTGCTATCACTTTGATGAACGCAGGAATCTTTCGAATTTGAATTTGGGTGGGGAGATTGCACCATCAATCGGGGATTTGAGGAACTTGCAGTCAATGTATGTAAAAATTGCTTGTTTTTTGTTGAAATATATCTGATGCTGACATTGTTTATGTGGTCTATGAGTTTGGTTTCGTCTTTTACGGTTTTGATTTCTTTCTTTATAATGCAGTGATTTCAAAGGCAATCACTTAACCGGTCAGATTCCTGACGAAATCGGCAACTGTCAATCCCTCAAGCTGCTGTAAGTTTTATTTTCCTACATTTTTTATTTAATATTCAAGAAATGTTAGAGGCACTAGTTTACTTTTTCTGGCTTTTTATGTTAAAAAATGTTATCCTTATTTAGCAGCTCTAAAATATTGTATTTGTTTTTATTTCGGAACGAGCACAAAGTAGCACATCAAACGTTTCCCCTAACTATTTGCCAATAGAAGTTCCTGTGTCAAACTTCGGCGTAATTGCCAATTTTTGCATGTAATATCTCTTTCCTGAAAAGATTTGCTCCTTATTTGAAATTTTTTATTCTAAGAGAATCGTTACAGTAAGGTTTTTTATGATAATGGATTGATTGAATTTTTGGTTTACTTGTGCAGGGACTTGTCATCGAACGCTCTTTATGGGGACATCCCATTCTCCATCTCCAAGTTGAAGCAGCTTGAAGAACTGTCGGTTTCTCTTCGCTTCTTTAGAAATCATTTCTCTAGTTGTTGGTTCATTTTCCATGATGCTTATAAGACTGCAGTTCAGTGTAGGAGATGCTGTTTATGCGGATTTGATTTTATACAATGCCTCTCTTTCATTGCAGAATTTTGAAAAACAACCAGTTAACTGGCCCAATACCTTCCACACTGTCGCAGATCCCAAATCTAAAGACATTGTAAGTGAACATTTCTGAGTATTAACTGCATTGTTTACTAGATTCCAACTGTAGCATTTATTTGTTCATGTCTATCTAGCCTCTATTAATGAAAATTAGTTCAATTTGGATCCATTTTACATTTTACTAAGTTCCCTATTGAGACCATTTAGATTAGGGCCTTACTCTATTGAATGGATATCTTGGAATCTAAGATGTGAAACTTGAACTTGTAGATGCATGTGTTTCTTCTAATGCTTCAGTATTTTGTTTCCATAAATTCGGTCTAGACAACTTTCAGGATGCCATTTTTACATTACTATTTTCCATGAAGGAGCTATAATCGTCTTGCAAAAATGGAGTCTGTTCATACAAATTAGTATTTTCAAACAACAAATCCACTCTTTTATGTTTGTTGTAATAATCTTGGCTTGTAGCTGCATGTTATGATTTTTGGTTTTCATTTTCTGGGAAAAACTATGATGGCCTTGTTTAATGTCATCTGTACAAGCAAATCTTGTGTTGCTTATTTAGGGATTTTAGTTCTTGCTTTGATGTGACATTGAGCTTCTTTGATTGCTTGATGGCATAAAGGGATCTAGCACAGAATCGGCTTATTGGGGATATACCGAGATTGATATATTGGAATGAAGTACTGCAATATCTGTGAGTGGTTTTGTCTCTCTTATGCGCCAATTTGTTCTTTGCTACTTTTGGAAACGTCTTTATTTTTTGTTCTTTGCCCTTATGGTACCTATTTTTTTTCAGGGGATTACGAAGCAATGTTTTGACAGGAACATTGTCTCCTGATATGTGCCAGTTAACAGGGCTGTGGTACTTGTAAGTGACTAAATTCTTGATGAATTATCTTTGCATTGTTTACTTTTCAGTTTGGGTTATGTATTTAATATTTTTGTTTAGCAGCCATCTTTGCAAATTAACGAACTAAATTTATTTTGTCATAGTTATCTGTGGTATGAATTATTTAGCTTTTCGATCTTCTCATTTGCATCACCCTGATTGGCTTGCAGTGATGTGAGGAGCAATAACCTGACTGGAACAATTCCGGACAGTATTGGGAACTGTACCAGCTTTGAAATATTGTATGCTGTTTGCTTAATCTATACATTTTACAGAACATATTTGAGTCAAGCCTGTAATTGTTTTTCTGATTCTTTACCCTGAACTGTGCTGTCCAGGGATGTTTCGTACAATCAATTAACTGGTGAAATTCCCTACAACATTGGCTTTCTTCAAGTAGCTACATTGTATGACTTCTTCATTGAACTATTACATATGTGTTTTTATCTTTCCTCTCTTGATATAATCGGGATGCTTAATGAATGATCAATGATTTTTCTATTGATGCTTTTAATTATGATGAGTTTAAAACCTAGCAAAAGTTTACCGTTCACTGATGGTCAGCATATGTTGACGTTGGTTTTGTTTTACAGGTCTCTTCAGGGAAACAGGTTAAGTGGAAAGATTCCTGAAGTGATTGGCCTCATGCAGGCTCTAGCTGTTCTGTGAGTATAGTCTGTAGCTGCATAGTTCTGGTGATAATTGTTGTCTAAGCATAATGTGCTGCAGTTCATTTTTTATAATGGGTTGAGTACATAGCTTTGTGTTTCGGAGCTCCTGCTGTCATCTATGGACATGTAATTCTAACATCACCTCCATTTGATTCAGGGATTTAAGTGAGAATGAATTGGTTGGAACAATCCCTCCAATCCTTGGCAATCTAAGTTACACTGGAAAATTGTAAGTTGCCTGAAGCTACTTTTTGGAAAGTATGTATCATTTGAAGTTATCTTTTGTGGCCTGCACTTATTGTTGCAGTAAGTTGGTTTCTTTTTCTCTTGTACAGGTATCTACACAGTAACAAACTTACGGGGCACATACCACCAGAGCTGGGGAATATGACAAAACTTAGCTATTTGTGGGGAACTGCTTACTTTTCGTTCTGTATTTTGGTCTTAGTTGGAACTGGATTTTTGTTTTATGGTTTATTTTTTTGTTTCCATGGACAGGCAATTGAATGATAATCAACTGGTTGGTGGGATTCCTCCAGAACTAGGGAAGCTTGAAGAGTTATTTGAGTTGTAAGATATGCAGAAATTTATCCTATTTGAGCTTTATAGTTTCCCAAGAAGTCTGCTTATTTAAGTCTCTTTGATGATGTAAATTTCAGACTAATTGTTTATAGAAATTGTCATATTTTGTTTTAGGAATCTTGCCAATAACTATTTGGAAGGACCCATACCTGAGAACATAAGCTCCTGCACAGCCCTAAATCAATTGTGAGTATCTCTTGCTTGGACGGTTGGACCACATTTAAGTTTTACGCTGAATTTTCACTTATGTGGAATTTTGTTTCAGCAATGTTCATGGAAATTCTTTGAATGGTACCATCCCTTCTAAGTTTGAGAACTTGGAATCCTTGACTTATCTGTAAGTACCACATCTCATTTCTTCATTTAATTATGTGCAGAGGCCAAGATATATGTGTAGGTATTTATATTACTTCATGCCCTCTGGATATTTTGAAAATTTATAGGTTGTGTTTCTTTGATGTCTTGGATTTCTATGGGCTATCTTTTGGTTAATTCTAAGCTGTGTTTTGTAGGAATCTCTCATCTAACAAATTCAAAGGAACAATTCCTGTAGAGCTGGGGCGCATTGTGAATCTTGATACCCTGTAAGTTGTTAATAGTTGTGATAAATATGGTTCCATTTGCATTTTTGTCTGTCCATCTAATTGTTGTGACTGTTGTTTTTTTATGATTTTGACATCAGGGATCTCTCTGACAATGACTTCTCTGGGTCAATTCCATCCTCTGTTGGTGATCTTGAGCACCTTCTTGAATTGTTAGTATTGTATTCATTTCTGATAGAGAAACTTGTTTATGTTAGGACGGACTATAGGACAATAACTTTTGCAAGAAAATGAAATAAAAGTAATTTGAAGGGCAATCAATTTTCTCAAACTGCTGCTTTAAGCATTTATATAAGGGCCAAGTAATTTGAGTTTATGGGCTAAGCATTTTTTTTTTTTAATGTACCATAGAAACTTGAGCAGGAACCGTCTTAATGGGTATGTGCCATCCGAGTTTGGGAATTTGAGAAGTGTTCAAGTCGTGTAAGAATGCCATTCATTGCTTTGTTTTCATCCATTCTTACAGTAGCTAGTTTTGTTTGTGTTTCAGTCTATACTCTTGTACAAATATTGCTACTAATTGCACCTTTACCTTTATGTTTTAGTGATCTTTCTTGCAACAAATTGGTGGGTGGGATTCCTCCAGAGCTTGGTCAGTTGCAGAATATTGGCTCTTTGTAAGCCCTTCTTCCAATGTGCCTATGAGTTTTGTTTTCTTGTTTTTTAACCTCTCTCTTTGTGGTGATTAGATAGAGCTCAGTGGTTTGTTTTCCTGGTTTTCTTCTAGGATTCTGAATAATAATCAACTGCATGGAGAAATACCTTCACAGTTGGCTAATTGCTTCAGCCTTAATACTTTGTGAGTGTTTGGGCTCCTCTATTTCTCTCTCTCATTCAGAATTATTGAGGTTCGATGGATTTCTTTCTTATTATTTTTTTATATTTTGTAGGAATCTCTCATATAATAACCTATCAGGGAGTGTACCAGATTTGAAGAATTTTTCGCAGTTTTCACCTGAAAGGTTTCTGATGAATTCATTGTATTTTGAAATTTTTTGTTATGCAGTAAGACCTGTATTGAGGTTCTCGTTTTTCTTTGTCTCCAGCTTCTTGGGAAACCCTTTGTTATGTGGCAACTGGTATGGATCTTTCTGTGAGGTTTACGGCCGAGATTCTAAAGGTGAGAAATTGACTACTTTGGAATCTTCACTGTCGTAGTCTACTGTGGTTTTGTACTGATTGTTCTCTGATTTTCAGTTGTGATTCCAAGAGCTGCTGTTGTTTGTATAACCTTGGGCTCCATCGCACTGCTAGTCATGGTTGTTGTTGCAATTTACCGGTCGATTCAGCCGAAGAATTTCACAAAAGGATCAAAGATAACCACCCAAGGCAAGTTTCAAGGTTAGGCATTGTATTTTATAGTATGCACTATGAACTATGGTATACTTGTAGTCTTTTGGGGTCATCAGCATTACTAGAGGAATTGATTGTTGGTGATTTTGCGTGAATGGATCCACTAGGGTTGTCATATCGTTTCCTAATTGAATTGTGATGTCTTCAATTAGACTATAAAAAATAATTGGTTCATGGTTTAATTGAGCTTTTAGAATTTTTGGTGGCTTTGCTTAAAGACCTGTGTTTGAACGATGGGCAATCCAGATCAGGATCTGTAGGAAACCTTCTTTCTGCCTCACTGAAACTGCGAATCGATCCATTTAAATGGACTAGCTTGGCTCCGTAGGTGGGTCTGTCAGGGTACTGAGTAATCTGGTTTGGCTAAATCGTAAACTTCCCATTCAGTTCAGTTTTTAAATATTTTTTAATTTTATATTGTTATAGAATGAAAATAGTATTTTAATATTCTCCCAATACTAATCCTTCTGGTTCACCTAGAAGAAAATCTACTAAATTGTACCATTTTGGTGTTGTTGCATTTGTTTTAGGTCCCCCTAAGCTTGTAATACTTCACATGGACATGGCTGTCTATACCTATGAAGACATAATGCGGTTTACTGAGAATTTGAGTGAGAAGTTCATTATTGGCTATGGGGCTAGCAGTACTGTTTACAAGTGCATGCTGAAGAACTCCAAGCCATTGGCCATAAAGAGAATTTACACTCAGTATCCTCATAACATTCGTGAGTTTGAGACCGAACTTGTAACCATTGGTAGCATCCGGCACAGGAACGTTGTCAGCTTGCATGCCTACTCTCTCTCCCCTCATGGCAATCTTCTCTTTTATGACTATATGGAAAATGGTTCTCTCTGGGATCTCCTTCACGGTATGTAATGGCAATTGATAATGTTTGCTCCCACTTTCTTTGTAAAGTCCCTGTTGGTTTCATTTGCATGAATGTGCTGTGTGTGTGTGTGTGTTGGAGGACCGCAAGTTAGTGGGCCATGGGAGGAGGGAATTTGAGCATGTTACATTTTTTTCTTTAGAGAAAGTGCCGAGGGTTAAACTTATCTCTTTGTGATGGTTTTTTTAATTCTGTGTTCAATGGTTTGAGTTATTTCAGGGCCCTCAAAGAAGGTGAAACTGGATTGGGATGCTCGGCTAAAGATAGCAGTAGGTGCTGCTCAGGGCCTTGCTTATCTCCACCATGACTGCAGCCCCAGGATAATTCACAGGGATGTGAAGACCTCCAATATACTTTTGGATGAGAACTTTGAAGCTCATCTCTCTGATTTTGGGATTGCAAAATGCATTTCTTCTGCAAAAACTCATGCCTCGACCTATGTGATGGGCACCATTGGTTATATTGATCCAGAATATGCTCGAACCTCAAGGCTGAATGAGAAGTCTGACATTTACAGCTTTGGGATTGTTCTTTTGGAGCTGCTTACTGGGAAGAAGGCTGTTGACAATGAGGCGAATCTGCACCAACTGGTTAGTATCGTTTTCTTTATTGCAAACAGAAATCCTCCTTGTTATAGTTGTTTTTCACCGTCTTCTAGTTGGGTTTTTCCTGAGATTTTCATTGGACTCTTTTGAAAATATTGGATTTGCTCAGGGAATTCCATTGAAAATCTCAGAGACGAATAGTTACAAGTTAAATGTAGCTTGTCAAAGGAGTTGGGAATATGTGAAAAAAGGACAAATAAATGAAACTTAATCTTATAAATTTCCTGTGATGATGATATTCTGATACACTTTTTTTTTTGTATATTATCCAGAGTTCAAATGGTTTTATTGTGAACTTAAATGTTGGATAGAGCGAAACTAGAAGAATACCAGAGTGTCATTGAATGTGTATATTTAAAGATTTTCCTTCATTTTCAATCCACTCTTAGAAATTTGGTATATTTTTTGTTTCTTATTGATGCGGTCTATAATGCAGATCCTATCGAAAGCAGATGATAACACTGTAATGGAGTCCGTGGATTCAGAGGTATCTGTGACCTGCACCGACCATAATCTTTTAAGGAAGACCTTCCAACTCGCCCTGCTCTGCACCAAGTGCCAGCCGTCAGAGAGACCCACAATGCAAGAAGTCTCTCGAGTTCTTCTCTCCCTTCTTCCTCCTCCCCCTACCTCTACTACCAAGCCTTCCTCAACATCAAGCAGGCTCGTTATGACCTATAGCCAATACATAGATGAGTACTCTGATGTTAAAAAAGAAGCTGTAGCCGGGAATTTGACCCACAATAGCACGACTGACCCTCATTGGTTTGTGAGGTTTGGTGAAGTCATCTCTCAAAACACTCTTTGACCAATCCATAGAAACCGAATAGGGGTGGCTCACAGGTTTTGTTGAAGATATAGAGCTTTTGGCTATATAGGATCTGATGGGTAGAAATTTTTGGTTTTTATGTCGAAATTTTACCTGTTGCTTTAACGTGGGGGTCTCGGAGTGTCACGGGTGGCCTTAATCTGTTCTAATTTTGTAGAATTTACAGATGATTGAAACTCTAATGACTTTTGTTATTTTGGAGTACATGAAAGAAATTGAACTTGTTTGTAATGATCAAATACAAGAAAGAAAATTGTACTTGTCTGCGGATCAAGTACATGAAAGAAATTCTGCTTGTTTATGTTGTGAAAGAAATTCTGCTTGTTTATGTTGTTGGGTGTTGGGTATGGTGGTTGAATTTGGTTTTGTGAATGGTCTCTCGCTCATTTTGTTGTACATAATGCCTGAGGCAAGCTGTTTGAAAACCTGCAAGTTTTGCTCGAGAGAAGGGACATCGCAGATATGGAGGGTTATAATGGGGAAGGATATGGCAGATATGATGCAAGAGATTTTATGAAAGGGAAGTGCTTTTAATATGTGGCCCATCGACTGGCTTTGAGTGGAAGAAATTAAAGAAATTCCAACTCATTAACCCGTGAAGTGGGAACATTTCAGTCACCTACTCCGGGTTTCCTGCGCCACAAATGCTTGCCCTTCTCCATCACCCACTTCACGTGATCTGTTAGCCCCCCTTTAAATTGGCCATGAACATTGATTATTGCCCCTTTGCTTGCAAAGAAGTACATTGTACGTCTCGGGTTATTTTTATTTTTTATATCTAAAGATAAATAGAACAAAGTGGTGGATTAGGATTCGTATAGCCGAGCTGTGATGATGATAATGATATTTAAATCTCGTACCGAATTTTATTTGAGTGATATTGGGGTAGAATTGCCATTTACTCCTTTCGGCAAAGTACCACTTAGATTGAGGACTCCAAAATTCGAAATTTGGATGCTCTCAATAAATTAACCTCCAATAAAAAAAATCGGAGGTCTACCTTCCTTGCACTAGAAAAAAAGTGTCTTGAGATTGAATATAGACCATCCAAAATTTTATAGACCATCCAAAATTTTAGGTGGTGGGATTTAAGTATTAAAAAAACTCAAATTTCAATGAAATGGAGGGATTTGAGTACTAAAAACTTAAATTTTAATTTTTTCTTTTGACTATTCATATACTGTTTCCAAAATTTTCAAATTTAAAAAATCTTACCAAATAGGTCTTTTCACTAAAAGAGTAGAAGTATACTATGCTCTAGAGGGAGCATAGTATGCTGCTGAATATTAGTGCCTATTATTCTATTATTCCATTATTCTGGGATGAAGTTTCTATAAAGCATGTGCTTAATTAAAACAAAATAAATCCTCATCTCAAATTCTTGTCTAAAAGTACTTTCAACAATGGAAATTTTTATGATGGCTCAAAAATCAATTTCCAACACTGACAATAAAATATGAAACTAAAAAAGTATTAAGATCTTGTGTAGATCTATTAACACTCTTTTTTTGGTGAAATACCTGATTTAGATAATTTCTTACAATATATACTATTTTTAGATCTTGAAATTCTAATTTTTTTTCACAACCATAACGTTCAAGCAAAGGAGTTCAAGCAAAGAAGCAAAAGTTTTCCAACACTTGATTACAATTTTCGATGAGCTTTTGAGGTGAGGCTTTTACTTATTTTGATAGGGCTGCAGCCCTATCAAACCATTTTCCATTTTTCTGAAAGGTCTTAAATAGTTGGGCCTGTGGCTTTATGATATTGGGTCGAATTGCACCTCAAAACCCCCTTGGAAATTGCGGTTCTGTTACCCGTATGGTTTTCTAGCCGACAGTTTTGAGGTGTGGCTTTATAAGCTGCAGGCCTACAAAATATTTTCCCCTCTTTGGAATCGTAAATGGCCAGAGCATATGATATGCTCCCAAGGGAACAAATTGTTCATCTGCTTCATTTACCCTGCAAGATTTTTGGGATCTGAAAATTTAGGATCTTTTCAATATCATTAGATAATTGTTTTTTTAAAAAAAGAAATTGGTTTTGAGCTCTTATAACTCTTAAACATGTGCCGATAATTGGGCGGCTCATAGAGTGTCTACTAAAATTATCGGAGTTAAGTCTCTAGGTAGTAGAGGATACATCCTCAAAATATGGGGTCCAAAAACAAGAGATCATCTACAAAGCGACTATCTACCTTTGGAAAAAGTTTATATAAGGTCGAAACCTTAAAATATAGAATTACAGAGGCACTTAAAATATACATTGAAGAATGTTGTTTTAATGTTAAAAGATCCTCTAATAGGTCATCTCAACATTTAGATGTATAAATATAAAAAAAAATTAAAAATTGAGTCTCATAAATAGTGCATCTTGCAACACATTATCTAGACCGTCCATTTTTAAAATTTTCACATGTTTATAGATCTACTTGATTTTAACCGCTTTTGAAGTTTTAAATTTTATAATTAGATATGAAAATAGATTTTCAGTTAATCCTAATAAATTTTTATATCAAAATTGCATGTTATGATAAAATTTGGAGGTACATCTTAATTGGATTGTTTAAGGTTGCAACCGTAAAGAAACCACACCTTTTACC